AGTGGGTCTGAGCAAATGTGAGTTTCATTTGCTCATCTTCGACGCGACGAGCCCTTAGGGCTCTGTCGAGTTCGACAAACCATAGTAACAGGGAGTCCTCCGGGACTCCACTGTACTTGGAGATGTCAACTTTCATGACTTCGGGACGACGCGCATGCGCCGTCCCGCCCACAGCAGCATGGAATTGCTGTTGTCTCAACAGCTCCGTCTGTTGAGACAAATGGAGGGTCGCGACAGGGACATACATCGTATAATAAGGTGATATTCATGAAGAACGCCGCGGCAGTCTCCACCGTGACATGTGCGGATAACGGAGCAACATGTAATTTACGTATAGACATGTCGACTATATAAATAATATGTGTACTGTTGTTGTCCGTGGTGATCCAAAATAGAGATCATGCTTACGGGTATAGAGGCTTCTGAGGCAAAAAAATGGACGTAATGTGTCTTGTATAGAAGTCGAAAAATATAACAAGCTAGCTTAGTGCCCTATACGCTTGTACTCATGTGTTCAGACTAACGAGCACGAAACAGTATCAAGCAGCTTTTTAGGACCATTATAGCCCTCGACAAAATTACTACTAATTCGCGAAGTAGTCGTGCACGAACACCGTCATCAGTGTGGATGACGACGAGAGGGTTTTGAGAAATCGATCATGTTTTTTATGAGTGGTCCGTCGAGACCATACTGTTGTACGGTGTGTTAGACACATCGACGTTTTGGATGTATATCACTTTGACCACGAAGATGAATTGGGTAGCTATGTAAAATCAAATCAGCCATAAGCCATAGGTTTAAGCACGAGTGAGCTCACAGATAACTTGACATCTTATTGACGCCAAGCTTAATAAAGCATGCATAGTTATTATCGACGTCATCAACTTTTGATATATGCTCCATCCATATCACGACGTGTAATTGTGATACGAAGGCCGGAAAGCTCATTTGAAATTACTATTGACTGGCTTGTAATTATCAACGAGATCGTTTTCGGTACAAAAAGGCATTCTAAGCCGTATCCTACGACAAGTGTGATCTCTTGACTTCAATTCGCATCGGTACTTGTTCTGTGCAAATTTTTAAAAACTATGTCTCACTAAGCCAAAACACTATATTTGAATCTGAGCCCTGCGCATATCAGTTCTTTGGCGCATATGAGATAGTTTCTCTCCGTAGTTTCATTTATCGTAATTATGGAGTGACGGAGTATCGCAAGCATGATCGTCCAACTACTTAATGAGCACACTAAATCACAAACTTACTTGCATCACGCACCACGTGATATGGCTTGAAATCGTCCATTAGTTCGATAAAACTTGAGCTTTGGCCAACCGCTTTTATGAGTTGACGTTCATTTATAACAGTGTGTATAATGGCTGATTGAGCTCGGCGTAATATGATGTACACTCATGAAGGTAATTTGTCAGTCCTAGTTAAAAGTGAATGACACAATTTGGTATGATTATGTGGGATTGACTGGGAGCAAGTCAAAACGATCTTTTAAAGATCAGCTCGTAAATTACCCTTAACGGCATTGCAAACAAGCACTAAAATCCCGGATGAGTGCAAAACACAACTATCATATTTGCATACACCTCAATCTTACGCACCGCTTCGATACTTGCTTTAAATGAAAAGAGAGGACGTCGGTAGCGCATAGCCGATGCTCAGCAAGGCTGTGAACGAAGGTTTCGTCGGAGTAGCTTGGCGCGAAGCTGCGAGTCGGACTTATTTTTGCGAGACCACCCGGATAAACGTAGAGGAGGATCTCTTAGGCCTTGCGGAACGAATAGTTATTCCCAAAACATCCCACTAGAAGTGTTTGAAGCTGTAAAGTGGGATGTCAATGTCTGTCATGAGGATCTGGTCATCGTCGTCCGTCAGATCAATAGCTATTATAATCTTACCCCCGGAGGCATGCAGTCTAATATTGTATCCTGGGATGGAAGTTTATGCTGCGATTGGGCTATTTCTTAACTTGTTAAAAGTGTGTAGTTTGCGCCAACGCTGGTATTTTTCTTGACACAGAGAAAATCGTACTTTAATGCGGTGAAACGCTCTTACCGAAATGTCTGGCTTGATGATAACCTTGAGAAGCTTATCGGTGGCAAAGACTCGATCCTGTGGCAATATTCGCTGTCGTATCACGCAATACTTCGCTTTCGGTCTGAAATCAGTCTCGAGCGTCATATAATGGTTTGTTCGATGTCATAGCAGTAATCGTTACTACTAGATATAAATGCGTCAATAAGAAACATATGTCCCCCTGACATATTGGTGGAGGTAAGCCTGATCGGGTCTACGTCCATCTCATTACGTGATAAATTCGTGTCAACGAGCACAACCTATCCCTCAACACTAACGGTGTCGAACGTCAGCACGAAAAACGATACTACCAACTCGCGGACGTATTGACAAAGCACTCGGTACAAAAGTAGTGCAATATATTATCGATTGAGTAGGCTTTTGCTGCTGCAGTGAGTAGGAGCATTGGAGTCCACGTCATAGTTGCCCTGCAAAAAATAGAAGTGTTAGAAATTTACAAAGAGACAAGTGTTTGGTACAGTCCATAGATTGCGTTCGAGCTCTAATGGTTCGTAGGAGGACGCCAGATAACAAATGTGTACGGTTGCTTTTCCATCAAATAAAGTCATGTCTCTCACTGACAATACATACCTTTGCAGGTTCGTTGTCTCCGCTCTCATTCACGAGCAATTGTGGCCGCAATCACTTACATTTGGTGTACAAATAAGTCAATTCTTTGCGACTGGGCTCAAGTAGGTCGTCTTGCCACCTCCTGCAAGAGCCATCTGAAGCTACCCGGTATACCCAGACAATCTCGAATATATAACCTGCTTTGTTGAATGTGGATACGTCTGTGTCCGTGAGGCTTAAATGCGCAACTCGACGAACGCATGAGGCGTTTGGCTCACCAAATGAGGCCATGTCAAGAATGGTCGCTACATGAAAGCTTGTACTTTTCTTTCGATGCTTGCATCAGAGCACTGAACACTCGAGCATATACAGCTCTAGTCGCCGCCATCGCGCCGGCAAACTTCTCGAACGAAACGCCAGTAATCTGATCGACGTGGCCCTCACATTTTGATCAACTAGGTACACATCAAGCAACCTGACTAGCATCTATCGTTTACTGCTTTCCCTGACACACGTGCAGCCATCCGAAATCAATCGTTCTCAATCTTGGAACGTTACCGGCCACGCGTACCGCTGCTGAAGATGTAACATGCAGGTTCATCCGATCTCCATCCACGACGTTGCGCGAAAAGACGCGGCGTCGCAGAATACCACGACTGTCGTTGACAAGTGTCTGAGTGGCACGCGACGAGTGCTCACCTATGCCATCCATTCTGTGCGCTCGTCGAGCAGTATCGGCCAAGAACAAAAAGCGATCACTTGCACAGCCTCTCGTTCCTTTATCAATGCGTTGATTGTATGTGTGCAACGAGTAACCTGGACAATTGCTGCTATTCCAGAGCAAACACTTGTTTCGTGAATGCAAATGGCTGTCTACTTGACAAGCGTTTACTTTTCTTTGTAAACCAGTGTGCGACAGATGTCGACACAAGGTGTTTGCTTTTGGGATCCTGCACGAACAACTCCACACTGCCATTGATGGCGTCAGTGCCAGATCCAACAAGTTCCAAATACGACTCGAAACTAAGTCACAGAGTCAGATTCTTGTTGCCTCTACTGAACTACAAGCTGGCGCGGGACAAATCACCGATGACGGCTGTTGCCGCACTCCATACATTGAGAGCGAAGGCTACAGTAATGTAATGGCCAATTTTTCCACTACCGCACACATTTTGTCAACAGCGTTTTGTCGATGCAGCAAGAAACTCGGAACATAAAAGAGGTCGATTTCGCAGCCAATCGGCAGCCTGTACGACGAGCCACGACGTTAGTTTTGTTGCTTTCCCATTGGGGACACTTGCTGCGGCCACGATCGGCGCTGACCGACCCGGTCCGGACCGGTTCGACAAAAAGACCACTCCATTCGCAGCACGAAGCACCTGCACTGCCGATTTGTAAGCCAAACCCACTCGCCTTCCCGAGTGTCTCCCGCGAGCCAGAGCCAACCAACCAGAGCCAACCATTCGTGCCATCGCCACATCGGCTTCGACTGCTCCACTCGCATTCGCTGATCGCCAAGTCAAAATATGGTAAGGCTGAGCTCCTGTTGAGTGGCGGCAATGCAGGGGCAATGGCAGCACCTACAGGCAGCAGATGAACAGAGAGGATGCGTTCCAGCGCACTCTCTCTGCTGTTTACGGCTCTCTGCATAGTCGATGCGTCGTGTCATAATCCACCAAAAGCCTCCCGACTTTTGCGCCCGCAAGGCGACTGCTGCACCGTATTCCACTTCGTTGCTGCCGAAGGATATGAAAATTGACAGGCCGTGTGTTATGTGTGCTTGTGCCTGCATAGCCGTCCCGTTTTTCCAAGAACCGCAAGAAACGCGGCCACGTGAGCGCCGGCCACGGTCGTATCGGCAAGCACCGCAAGCATCCAGGTGGTCGTGGTAACGCCGGTGGTCAGCACCACCACCGCATCCTCATGGACAAGTTCCACCCGGGGTACTTTGGTAAGGTCGGTATGCGCCACTTCCATCTCCTCCGCAACCGCACGCACTGCCCGACGGTGAACGTGGAGCGTCTGTGGACGCTGGTGTCGGAAAAGACCAAGGAGCAGGCGGAGAAGGCGAAGGACGGCAAAGCGCCAGTCATTGATGTGACCAAGGCAGGCTACTTTAAGGTGCTCGGCAAGGGCCGTTTACCAGCGGTGCCGTTGATTGTCAAGGCCAAGTTTTTCTCGGCCGAGGCAGAGAAGAAGATCAAAGCTGCTGGCGGCGCGTGTCTGTTGACTGCTTAAAGACGTTGTCTACTCTCTCGACGGTGCGAAGCGTAATGGTAAATACACGGAGACTTGACAGATTGTGGTTGCCGCAATCGTCCGCTTTGTGTGCGTTTAGTCGTCAGCAGTCGTCAGCTATCTGCTCGGTCTTGAGCGTGTTCCAGATGAAGCTAATCACGGCGTCAACAGGCACCGCGTTGCTCAACAGACGATCGAGCTCTGCCTGCAGACCTTTTACGTACTCGCTGGCGCTACAGAGCACGCGCCTGCCGTCGTGCCAGCACGTGACGCGGCAGACCCTGCCGTCAGCCGATCGTGTCGAGAAGCTGAGTAGCTCTCGAATGTCAGCCGCCGGTGCCGACACGTCCAAGAGACTTTCCCGATCGTCCAGTCGCCGCGCTCCTGCTCTGTACACGACGTCGTAGCACCGCTGCTCACGTGCCAGCACCGCCTCGCAAGACTGCAGCAAACCAATCGATGCCCCCGACGGGTCATCCACAGGTTGTTGCATGTGCGTCCTGTCGTCCTCTCTCATCATCCCATTGAGCTCGAGGTACCAGCGTCGCAAGGCCGTCCACGTTTGCCCTGCCAGCTGCTGTCGCAGGAATCCTACGTGTACCCATGTGACAGTTCAGTCAGTACCAATGAGAGACGTCTCGTTTGAGACGACAAATGTTCTACCAGCTATGAAAGTGTCTCTGTCTCTACGTGTTTCGGCTACCGAGTCGCAACGTCACGGCCGCAAGATCCTCAACGCGCGTCGCGTGGAGTGTAACTTGTTGCAGGGGTTCAGAGGCGCACTGGAGCGTCCGATCGCTGCGGCGCTCGACACGGCGGCGCTCGAGCGGCACCTGACGTCGGTGCTGCAGGACCGCTTGCTCCATGGCACCCTGGGAATCGCGTTGTCCAATCGCATGGCTTGCGTACTTGCTTTACAGCCAATCAGAAGAAGGATAGCACGCCGCTGGCCAGTCCAAGTCGCACGCCCAACATGTTGTCGCGAGTAGCGCTCCATTGCTCGATGGCGCAGCGCTGTTACCGATACAGCGCACGACTTACGGTGTCCTGTGGGTCAACCGGTCGTCGCTGGTCATCACGAGACGCTGCTGCAAGTGCCAGTTGTCAACCGGTCGCGACGTCGGTGCACTGTTCGACCTCGTGCTCACGCACTGAGGTCGAGTGTACCCCTACCAATGGACGTCTACTCGTGACATCTGGGAAGGGGTACTTACTGACGGGTTTGTGTGTTGTAGGCGTCACTTGGTGCCAGTCGGGCCTATTTGCACTCCATAGCCAGTGATGTCGTTGCGCTGCAGGTGCAAAAGAGCAGTTGGCGACGCTTGAACGAGCGCACGAATCGTGACATGCTGACGGCAGTGTGCGTATGTTCTGAACAGGACCTTTTCCAAGCGTTCTCTAGTGACTCGAGCGTCGCACAGAATTTCACACAGTGTGTGATGCGCGTACTGAATTGTCGCGACCAGAGAAATCGGGTGTTCGTCACGGGGCTGGGAAAGTCAGGCGCAGTCGCTCAACGTCTGGCGTCCACGCTGTCGTCCATCTCTATCAGTAGCCAGGTAACGACATGGATCTTGTGCGATTGTGAGCGCTCATAGAGTGTGGATTGCGCTGATTGCGGTGGCTGGTGCAGTGGATACATGGGGGAGAATGGGTCCATGGTGAACTCGGAGGCTTGAAGCATGGCGACATGGTACGCTCTTTGCTAGAGTTGTGTCGCTGGATGTTTACACGTCGTTGATCATTTGAATTTTATATACTGGCAGGTGATCATCGTATCGCACAGCGGACGGACGACAGAATTGCTTCCGCTGCCCGACATGTTTCGGAAAGCTGGTTGTTGCGTGATGGCTGTCGTAGGAAACGGGAGCTCGCCGCTGAGCCAGATCTGTGACTGGGTGCGTTTTGGGATCGCTTGGGGATGTCATGATTGCCGCACTGTTGTTTGACTTGTGCAATGCTATGAAATGCAGTCGATCGTTGCACCGGCAGAAGACGAGAATAGCTGTCCAGTTCCGTCAAGAAGTATCATCGTTCAGGTACATGACATATGCGATTTTGTGGGTGAAAAGCGACTGTGACTCATGTTTTGGTTTGTACCCTTTCGAATAGGAGGCCATCTGTAATGCGCTGGTCCAACATTTGATCGAACTCATGGATGAGGGTGGCGAGTGCTTGAAAAATAGCCATCCTGGCGGTGCCATCGGTGCTAAATTTGCGAATTAAACAGTTCAGACCCTGTTTGTGTCGAATGGCACACGGGTATGACATCCCCATGGATTTCGGTCGGTGGGCAACTTGACGGTAAGTGATTGATGGTCGAATCTCGGCACTATCAGCTACTTGCTGCTGCTAGACTGACCGTGCAGAAGAACTGACTCGTTCCGTGTATTGTCTAGCTGATGATCGATCGGCCGTGAAAATCTGAACCAAAAGGATGACGTCGTGAAAACGCATGATTGCTGAAGAGCAAGCATATGTGCGCTGGCATCAAGCTATACTTGGCATGCGTGTCCGTCCACAAGCTGACCGTAGGGCATATCGAAAGCCCGCCGATCCGGCACTGCCTTCGACCCATTCAACGCTACACTTGTGCTGTCAATGCTTTCATCAGTAGTGGTCGAAACGTCCCCAGCTGTGCCAGTCCAACTACCACTCGACTCCGTGACGTAATCTGCAATCAGCTGAGTGTCTTTCCAGTAGAAGGGACTACCATTTTGGCCAGAACCTTTGCAGCTGTACCGCAAGTGCGTAGCGGGCGCATTGTAAAAGACCCTGAATACCATGTTGACGTCATCACACTTTATCAGCACTAGTCGTTGCATCGAGGTGTCAAAATCATCAGCTGGTAAGTTGGTCCAACTGGAGTTGCACTTGGAGTGTGCTATCGACGGCCCCTGATGCACGTCATCGTAGGTGCTGCTACAGCCTGTTAGGTATGTTCTAGTATCACCCACCTCTGCTCGAAGTGTGAGCAGAGACACAAGTGCACTAAACAAACAAACGTTGCCATGAGCGCCGAAAGTTCAAAGCGTGTAGGAAGGTAAGCCGATGATATGAAGGGCTCCAACATCTAGTCAGTGTCATGTCGGAGAAGATACATGATAGCGAGCTTCTTACAGATGCGATCAACTTGTCAAATTACGAGCGAGTTGCTCGGGCGTTCTTCGTGGTTTAGAGACTGACGCATAACACGATTGCGCCGACAGCAAACAATAGGCAACTTTCTTGCGAATCTTGCTGAATACAAGTTCAGCGTGCATTGCCCATGCTACTGCATCTTGTCAAGCCATTCGGTGCGCTATAGTCAACGAGTTACTAAACCTTCTGGACGTCATTCACATTCTTCGATTGGGTACACTCGAACGGTGACAAGACATTGGTTCATCTTGACTCGACTTCGACGGTGACTCGCGTTGCTGCAAAGTGCACTACGTGGGCCGCGGTTCTCCCATCATCTCGCAATCCATTCCGGAACCTGGCTAGTTATCCCGTGTGAATCAATTGTATCTTCTCCGAAACATTTTCAAGTATGCGGACGTTCAGAACTGTCGTGCAGGACTTGGACGATCCATTCAAAGAGACTTCCTCATAGTTGGGAACGCGCCACGCTGTTCCAACCGCTCCTTCGACCGGAGACTGTGATCAAGCATGATCGATGTCGATCATGTTGTGAACATCAACATCTGGTCATAGGATCGTGCTGCACATGGACTGCACATTTGCCGTCGCCACCAGTCCTTGGTAGCCATTAGCGATAACGAATGGTACACCAACGTACCGTCAGTGGCACTGCGTAGTATGGAGCGGCAACTTGGCCTGGTCAGGCTTATTTTTTTCCGTAATACGCCAACACGTCTCCACAATGCGGCTACAAGCCCTCACCTGTTTGTTCCCAAATGCCTGTCACACAATCGCACTTGCCAATCTTCCTGCAGCGCGACAGCAACATCGCATGCTGAAGGCCGTTGTACCGGATCCACATGGAGCAGCTGCTTGATGATGGCACCGATAAGGGGTGGGATGGAGATGAAATTCACACACAAATGGCACGTCTTGGGGCTACAAGTCGCATCAACATGACAAAAGATCTCCGACCGCCAATCTGAGTTCGACACGAGGTACGTCGGTCCACCTCGAAACCCCCACATAACGCACTGCACGAGCTGCAGTTCCACCGAAAAACAGCACGAATGGTCAGCTTCATGTAACGCAGTAAGCATCACATGACAAATCCAAGAATAATAACGTAATTAGCTTACAACAACACCCGCAGCCCACATATCTGCGGCAGCGCCATCGAACCCTGGTCTTGGTGGCGCCATCCTCTGATGTGCTCTCACTTCTGGCGACACAAACAACGGCTTGCACTTGACAGTCACATTTCCCGCCGCCACTCTGGATCTGGTGTCCATTATCAGCGCACTGCCCAAGTCAATAATCCTCGCACACGCTCGTCGATCGACTACGATATTGTACACATCCAAATCCAAATGCGCCACATGCTGTGCATGTAAATACGTCAACGCTCGCACGATTCCCTTGAAGAGCTCCACTCCTTCGTTCATCCACTCGCGGCCCGCGCTTCGATATACATAAGAGATACACTCTGATTTCGTCGGAGCTGCTCCGTATGTCTGGGCGAATTCCTGCAAGTGTCGGAGCATGAGATGGTGGACCCGGCGATGGGCATAGGCTTGCAAGCTTCCATTGGCCACATACTCTGTAGCCACGTACTGGTTGTACATGTCGCTGGCGTAATCCCAGCGGACCATGTGCTGATTGGCCAACGGCGCGTCGATTCCGCCCATTTGCAGCTGCCTCATGACGCGGATCTCGCGTTCGACACTGTCGTGCTGAAGTAACACTTGCGCACGGTCCATGATCTTGAGCGCCACGGGCAGCTGGAGCTCCGCCGCCGCGTCCATGCGAAAGTAGACGCCGGCCAAGACAAAGCCGCAGCGAATGACGGCCAACTGCCGCTCCCGACGACGCAGCGCTATGACCCCGAGCTTCGCGTCCCACGCGAAGTACACGGACGGCACGCGCATTGTATAGGGACGCGCACGGCTTGACACAGCAGCGTGGGAGACGGTCTCGTACGGAGGATGGGCGCCATACTTTGGGTACTGCGTCGTCACGAACCACACGTCCATTGTGGCCGGACGTGGAGTGGTAAAGTGACGATATGAAGTGTCACTGGTGTGGAACACATCGTGCAGATAAATGTCCGCAATTGCCATTTCCGACTGTAGTATTACGCGCAAAATGGCTACAGAGGGTGTTGCATTGCGGGCGGCGCTGACGACCGTATCGGCTACGAGAGACATGCGTTGCATTCTCTACACTTGTGCTGCAACCTCTGGACATACGTATGTGAAAGTTTCCAGTGGATCGAGCGTTGCGTTCGCTCAATTGCGACGTCAAGAGAGCGGATCGACCCTATCATTTGGTCTTCAGGAAGCGTTGGACGCGGTCGATGGCCTGGACCACGTCCCGATTCGAGTGGACGCTGTAGTGGAAGACAAAATGGACAACAGCGGATGCTGCGAGTGCAAATGTGGCGCTATTGCGAGCGTCTGTGTGCGATTTCTAGACCGGTCAAGACCTCGACGTGCTGTGCTTCGAGGCCTGCAACGGATTGCAGCGAAACTGTTGGACGGTGCAGTAGTCTGGAAGGGCAGACGATCGTCTGTAGACTGGCTAAACTGTCGGGATCGCGTTGAGTTTGCCGACATGGAGTGGGAGTCGACAGGTTCGGGATGTTGCCGCGAGCTCGGGACGATTTCTAGCACGTCGAACGTCAAGCTGACTTTTGCCGGATCGCCAGTAGTGCGACACTCTGGACGAAGAGTTGAGCTCGTGGATGCGTATGTGGAACGTATTGCGAGCGAGATGGGGGGTGTTGACAAGTATGCTCGACACTTGGTGCAGTCGATTGTCCAGCGTCTTGACCTGCAAAAGGAGAGACTGGCAACGTCGCAGCCGAGTGTCGGAGCACTGATCAGTGGTCTTCCAGGTACTGGCAAGACTGCACTAAGTAGAGAAATATGCAAGTGCTTGGGTGTGACGACGATTTTCCTGAATGCAGCGGACATCTACCAAACGTATGTCGGGCAGTCGGAACAACAGTTGGCCAAGGTGCTTGAAAGTGCAGTGCTCCAGTCTCCTTGTGTCTTGCTCATCGACGGAATCGAGGCGATCGCTACCTCTCGACGTCTTCTAGCTGAGTCACAAAGTGCGCTCGAGATTGGCGTCTTGGGTGTGCTGCTCTCGTATCTGGAAAAGATCAAATTGTTTTCGCACCGAGTGTTTGTTCTGGGTACTACCACGTGTCCTGAAGATGTGGATGCAGCGGTCGTATCGAACGGAAGACTTGACCACGTTGTACATATTGAACCTCCAACGCAAATTGAACGGCTCGCGATTCTTCGAATCCTCACAAAGCCATGGCGAGGTGGCAAGCTCAACGGTGGGTTTCTTGCCCAAGTGAGCGAAAGCACAGGTGGTTTTGTCGGCGCTGATCTCCTTTGCCTGTGTCAGAAAGCAGTGCAAATTTGCCTGAACGAGAGGTCAACGGCAAACGCGGACGACATCGCAATCGTGAGCCCGCGCCATTTTGAGCAAGCACTTGCAGTGACTAGTCCATCCGTCCTGCAGACGCACCACGTCTCACAGAAGCAGCAGCAACCGGCATCGACTTGCATTCAGAGGCAGAACTATTACAAAGCATCCGACGCTTTCTCTAGTGTCTTTGGCATGAATGACGCTATTCAAACTCTCCGTGTCTCCTTGATAGAGCCGCTGGAAGATTGCAGCCGGTTCTTGAGATTCGGGACCGCACCCCCGAAAGGCATCTTGCTGACTGGTCCTCCAGGATCTGGCAAGACACATCTCGCGAATGCAGTCGCCGAACAAGTTCGCCGTCGTGGGCTGGCGTCGTTTGTGTCTGTGCAGTGCAGCGATCTGCTAACGAAGATTGTCGGAGACACGGAAAAAGCGCTTCGCGAGCTGTTTGACACGGCCAGAAATGCCGCACCTTGTGTGTTGTATTTCGACCAGATCGAGAGCGTCGCGCCTGTGCGGGGGTTCGATACAAGTACCGAGCAGACGTTTGATCGGATGCTGAGCATGCTACTTGTTGAAATGGACGGTTTCAGCACGAGCCGGACCAAGCTTGAGCACAGCTTGACGAACGACGATGCGCGCATGGCGTTTTTGAGGCAACATGTTGTTATCCTTGCTTCAACGACCGACAAAACGCTCTTGGATCCAGCCATCCTTCGACCGGGGTGCGTGATCGCTGAGCTGTTCTGAGCGTGGTACAGCGTATCCAATGTAGCTGCTAACTCTCGTCACTTTTCTTGCATGCTCAGACGCTTCGACGTCCACATCCATATCGACTTCCCGGACGAGGTGGCGAGGTGCGCGATCATCTTTCAAGCACTAGAGAAGGTCCCCGTGGACTACCCGACCGACGGTGCAATCGATTCCCGCGAAGCGCTTGCGAGCTACATGGCCAAGCGCACGGCTGGCTTGTCTGCTGAAGACGTGAAGGCCGTGCTCCGCGAAGCGGCCATGGCTTCCATGCGCGAGGATTTGAGTTCGACAACCGTCGGGATGAAACACGTGCTCGAGGCTTTGGATGCAACAACGTCAACGTCAACGGCGGTATCCTCCTCGTCATCTTCCACGCCACTGTTTGCACGTCACGGCAACCAGACCGACAATAGTAGACGCTCTTCCGCCAGTCACCGGGCTCCGATTCGCAGCGACCGAGCAAGACGGAAGACAGTCGACGCGCGGCGGTTTGCTCTGTAGAATGGCTACACTGCGCATGAGCTCCCCGTCACAAATTTAGGTGGCAATGATGTGGTACCACGATGCCACTCAGTCCAATGCGAGCCGAATCGCGTCGGCCGACGCCGCATCTCGGGGCGTCGACGCATGATCGGAACCGTTACAAACACAGCGCACCGGATTTCTACGCACTGGGTCAGCAATACACTGAGTTCGGACGATAGTACGTGGTGTGACGAAGTGATGCAGTGGCCAAGCGAGGGTCACTGTCTTATCGAGTGCCGAGACGATTAACGCACTGTGTCTAGTCTCCGCAATGTCGACGATGTCAAGTGCCGTGCTTCGCTCGCGTGGGATGACCCTTTTGCTGTCAGGTGCTGGCTGCGACTCTATGCTTGTCTGGATAGTGAGGGGGAAGTTAGCTAAGCGTGTTGTTCGTTCTTGCCTAGGGAGCTGACGAAGACGCTGCTTTTGCATGATTTCGGGTTGCATTGGGAGATTCCGATCAATCGATTGTGTCCACCAGTTCGTGACTTTTACTGATGAGCTGAAGGATCCTGTTGAGTGCGTCTGTTCATTTTCCTTCCTTGTTTCGGATGTTGCTAGTTGCCGAACCGATTGAACTATCTCCACTGGATCGAAGACTTGCTTAGTCAGGCCGATTGGAGCAAGTTTGTTGGGAACGAGCAAGATCCCAAGGCTATAGCGATGGACAAGGAGACTGTATGCGGGATCGATGTGGGCACAGGTGCAAGCTGTATTTACGCGCTGCTTGGCGCGACGATGAACAAGTGGAAGTTTATCGCAACGGAGATTGATGCCGAGTCCTTTGCGTGTGCGAAGGAGAATGTATCTCGAAATCATCTTGAGGCGCTTATATCGGTCAAGCGTACACATACGAACAAGCTGTTGGCGGAGCCGTTGGAGGATGAGCCACTCAAGCACAAATTCCACTTTGTTATGTGCAACCCGCCATTCTTTGATAACATGGATGAAGCAGACACAAACCCAGAGTCGAGCTGCATGGGTAGCCCTAACGAGATGGTATTTCCAGGAGGCGAGGTGGCGTTCATCGGGCAAATGATTGTGGAGAGCAAGGACTTGCAGAACCGCGTGCTCTGGTTCACCTCGATGGTTGGCAGGAAAGCGAGTCTGCGCAAGCTTTTGGCTCTGCTTCGCGAGATGAAGGTGCGAAGCACTCGCACTACTGAGTTCTTTCAGGGACGGACCAAGCGGTGGGGAGTCGCTTGGACTTTTGCTGAGTGTGTGGCAGACATGACGTCTGTACGTTTTGCACAGCGTAGTGTATGTAGCTTTCGAAGTTGCGTCTACAAACGTGTGTGTGTGCTTGTTCTCACGTGCAGGGAAAAGTACTGGGTAAGCGAAAAGAAGCTCATCGTAGGCAGGGGCTTTGCTTTCGGGTGCCATTGAGGAGTGAAGCAGGTTTGTCAGCCCTACGTTGCGATTCTTGTATCTCGCAGCTCTGATTGACGCCCCGTTTCGTCCGATGATAGCAAGGCACGGCTGTACTTCGGCAGCAGCGGTTCATACGAGAATTTGTGAATTTGTCGATACGGCAGATGGGCTGCAGCTGTTGAAGGAGACAACGGATCAAGGCGAAGGGGGAACAGAAGACGAAGGGCGTTGCGATCGGCAAAGGTATCGGCTGGAACAGCACGAATCGGCGCAAGAAACATCTGATATCAATTCGACCGAAGTGCGTTGCGCTGGTCGAGTGGAAATACTCGCATCAAATGACAGCGAGGGCGGGTTTGAGGTCTCCATTGTTTTCGAGGAAGGCAACCGAGCGGCGTTCTGGACACTGGCCGATATGCTTCAAGCAGCCACGATTCGTACAGGGCGCCAGTGGAGACGAGCGCATCGACAACAAGAGCACTACCAGTAAAACTGAATGCAGTTCATTCCGTGTCATTCTTGCACGACGCCAACGCGATTACGACATCCCCGAGATCGCTTATTGTGTTTCGAATCGCTGTCGCCACCTGCTCGTTCGGCCCTATCCAGTACAACGACTCGATATACTTATGCAACGCTGGCTTGACTCGATTGTTTTCCAGATGCAGCGCTGCAAGATTCTGACACGCGTAGTGCCTCACGTCATTACGCGGTGCGGCAATGGCTTGTAGAAGCAGCTGCAGCGCCTCTTCTGCCTTGCCTTGTGCAACGCGAATAAGTCCGAGATCGTTGTACGGGTTTCCGAACGCTGGATCCATTTGAATCGCACGCTGACATTCTCGCACTGCTTCGTCTACTTTCCCGTCCAAGTAGAAATGCCAGCCAAGATACGCGTGAGCATCTGCCGTCTCGAACAATTTTAACGACTCGACGTAGTAGGCTTTGGCAAGTCTCGTCCTGTCCGCCATGTCAAGATCCTCGCTCGCCAGTAACGCCGACGCACTCTGGATCAGCTCCAATGCGCCACACAGATCTCCTTCCTTTTCCTTGTTTAGCTGCTGCTTCTCCCACTCGTACTTCTCGTCAAACGTCGTGGGGTGCAACACTTCCGCGAACCTCAGCACGTGGCGGTCGCCCTCGTCGCAATACAGCAGCTGCACACGCTCCAACACCATCTTGTTGATCTGTAGCGCCTCATCAAGTGAATTGTCAATGTCGCGCGTGTTCTCGATCCCTCGAAAACCAGAACGAACGGCGTCTGTACACGAGGAGCCCGAGCCAAAAAAGTCGCACCACTTGGATCCGTGATGCCACTCCACCTCGCGGGGCAGCACGGCCTACAGCACGTCAATGTTCAGTACGAGTGTATCACACAGCAGGTTCCTTCGTGCGGTAGCTACACGGTCGGGACGCACTTCACCTTGAAGGCCGCGTGGGTGTCCAGCACCTTCGCACTCTGCAGGAGCGACCGATAGAGCGCGACGACGACGACTTTCGTGGACGGCATTGTGTAAATGATGTGGCCACACCAGATAACGTGGTCCACCGAACAGCGACTTGTTGGGCACCCATCGAGCCACGAGTGTTGGGCTGCACCTGCCGCTGCTATGGTCGCGCTCGAGATCTGCGGGATGCCCGTGGAGTTCCCGTTCAAGCCGTACGACTCGCAGCTCATCTACATGGAGAAGGTGCTGCTCGCGCTCACGTCCAAGCAGAATGCCATTCTCGAGAGTCCCACGGGCACGGGCAAGGTAAGACGACGACCCCGAGTTTCGATCGAGGATTCGCACTTAACCGAGACACAGGGCCGATTGCCAGTGTGTTGAGACCAAAGTCACATTGTCAACATGTTTTGTATGTGGTATGCACAATGCAGACGCTTTGCTTGCTCTGTGCGACGCTAGCATGGCGTCGCTTCATGCGGGAGAAGGCGATCGGAGCAAGCAGAAGTGCTGCATCGCATGTGACAAGAGCTCCGCAAGACGCGTACACCGGTCATGCCAGAGACAGCGACAGCGACGAGACGCTTCAGCTCCCGAGGATCATTTACTCGTCGCGAACGCATTCGCAGTTGAAGCAAGTGGTGCAGGAGCTCAAGAACACGTCGTATCGTCCTAATGTCGCTGTGCTTGGTTCTCGAGAACATCTCTGTGTGGACGAGACCGTGTCGAAGCTTCGAGGCACGCGACAAAACCTCGGCTGTCGCTCGACTTGCAAAGACAGGAAGTGAGTGGTTGGTGGACAACTCCTGGATCTGCAGCCGTGTCGAGCTCGAGGAGTGCCGTTGAGGCGAGAACGAGCTGACGCGTCGTTCACGTTTCGTGCTTTTTTCAGGTGTATGTACAAACTGGGCTTTGACTCGTACGCCAAGCGTTTAAAGCAGCAAGCACAGCCCATTATGGATATCGAGGAGCTTGTGACTACGATGAAGGAGAAGAAGGTGGGCTCTTGACAGCGATAGGATGCGCTTTTCGATATTGTGTGGCTGACACCTTTTTGGTGAGGTCGCAGGTGTGCCCATTTTATCTGACGAGGCACATGCTGCCTGAATCGGAGATTATTTTTGTACCGTACAACTATCTCATCGATCCCTTGGCACGCCGCTCGATTGGCATATCGATTGAAAACTCGATTCTGATTTTTGACGAAGCGCACAATGTGGTACGATTGCGTTGGCGATTCGTGTCGAATTGTTTCGGGTACTGAAGCATGGATGATGTGACGCGTGTGGCGCAGGAGTCGATTGCAAGCGAGGCTGCGTCGTATGCGCTCTCATCAGAGGACATATCTGGTTGTATTTCAGAGGTTGACACGTTCATCAAGGGGCTATTGAATCACAGCATACAGCTGAATGCGGGTAACAGTTTGACTATCGAAGTAAGTCGGTGATGTCGAATCTTTCGCTCTGCACATGATGACTGATACCGTAATGTCACAGTCGACCCGAACCTTGCGTGCTCTGTTCATGGAAATCGACAAAGGACTCAATACTTTTCCGCTGTCTTCGAACGGAGGGCTCACAAAGGTAGGCGAGGCGCGACACTGGCTGGGTGCTGCCTATTGGGCCCGTAATCTTTTCTAACCTACTGCCTTCTAGCCAGGAGAGTACATCTTCGAGTTTTTCGAGCAGTTTAACGTGAATTTTGAGACGTGCCCGCTTGTCCTCAACATGATTGAAGAGATCGTGGAGGTGGCACATGGTGGAGATGACTCTCAACGAGCCGCGTCAAAGCTCGACACGATGCTCTCGTTTCTGGGCACAATCTTTCGGAGCAAAGAAAAACACCTTGCGGTAATTGCGTTTGCATTTTGCTTGGCGTCTCGTGTGCTGCCTTTGACGTTCAGTTTCGTTCGCAGGCAGCGAAAAGTTATCGAGTTCATATCCAAGAAGTCCGCGAAAGGTTAGTCTGCAACATTGAGCTACCGTGTTGTTGGTCGGTCCCTTACCGTTCGCTGTGCAGATCTGCGAATGCTGGTCGAGCAAAGAAGACGAGTGCCCGCGTGTTCAACTACTGGTGTTTTCATCCTGGTGTAGCTTTTCGCGAGATTTGCGCCAACAATGTTCACAATGTGATCTTGACCAGGTTCGTCTCTCTGTCTAGCTCATTTCCTAGAAGGTTTTGACGGCTAACTAGGTCAATACGTTCTCAAATAGTGGAACGCTTTCACCCTTAGATACGACAGTCAAAGAACTTGGGATTGATTTTCCAGTGCGGCTGGAGAACGACCATGTTGTCGACGCTGACCAAGTCTGGGTGGGCGTCGTTGGAACAGGCGTGACTGGCAAGCGTCTGAATTCGAGCTACAACTTCCGGTCGACTGAAACTTATCTGTTAGAACTGGGCAACACAATTGTGAACTTCACTCGCCTCGTTCCGCATGGCCTGCTCGTCTTTTTTCCTTCCTACTCAATTTTGGAAGAGAGTCTGGACAAATGGCGAAAGCCTGCAGTGAGCGAGTCATCGTTGTCGATATGGGAGCGCATCGGCCAGCAGAAGCAAATATTCGTGGAACCTCGAGGCCGGGTGGATTTCAAAACAGTGGTTGACGAATACCACTACACCATCACGAATAGCCCCAAAGGCGCAGTATTTTTTGCTGTGTGTAGAGGAAAGGTCGGTGATGCGGTCTACCTTTTGTGATTCACCACAATCGAATAACCTTGTTGTGATGCTCGATGAGCGTAGGTGAGTGAAGGCATCGACTTTTCGAATGATAAAGGGCGTGCCGTGGTCATCACTGGCTTGCCGTTTCCGCCTACAAAAGACCCAAAGATTATTTTGAAAAAGAGCATTTTGGACGAGGCTACAGTGTTGCCTGGAGAACAGGTTTGACATTTTGACTTTTATACGAAAGCTTGTTCGTGCGGCTTATTCTCGGGTCTTTTCCGTTTCAGAAATTGACGGGCAACGCATGGTACATTCAACAAGCGTCGCGAGCAGTAAACCAAGCGATTGGTCGCGTCATAAGGCACCGCCATGATTACGGTGCTATTGTACTGCTAGACGAACGATTTGCCTTGAAACAACAGCAAGAGTGCTTGTCAAAATGGCTGCAGCCTTATTGTCATACCTGCAGAGGATATGGTACGTGCGATATCTCACTTGTTGGCATCGGCGGAAGTTGTTTGACATTTTCATCGTTCTTCGGTGTTTGCAGGCGAAGCACACATTGGCTTGACTCGCTTTTACAAAGGTAACAAAGCGAGAGCAGTACCAGAATCATCTGCGAGAAAGCTGCTCCAGCAACCCAAGTCGATCGGGTTGTCCAAGCGGATGCTGTCAAACGTCTCAAAGGCATTGTCAGATACTGATGGCAGCGAAGCTAATCTGCAGCCGAGCGCGTCGCAGCTATCACATCCTCAGCCAGCCATTGGCGATGGACAATCTTACGTCAACCCGCAGCTACTTCGACACCTTCCAAATCCACAGGAGACAACCGGTACACCCCTCGTGCTTTCTTGCGGTTGTTTCGAGCGTGTTATGAGGCGTTGCTACTGACTGATGTAGTTGTGCTTTTCTTAAATCAGAAACCAAGACGTGTGCTTTGTCAGCTCCTGCGCTACCAGCAAGACCAGCTTCTCGTTCGCTAGGGTCACTTTTACGATCCACGTCGAAATCAGCGATGGTAGACACGACGTCGTCGATTTCGCGCCCGTTTACGGCTCCGTCGATGGCGGATGCCGGATATTCCGCTGGTAGTGTAATCGTTGTGGACGACGACGACGAGGCGCAAACAGCAGAGCAACAGCTAGTTCCGGGCGCTGTTTCTTTGAAAGTGGAAGGATCTGCCGTGAAAGCGTCTGTAACCGATTTTCCTGCAGTGACAAGAAAAGTGCTTCAGCCTTCCGAGGTGGCGAAATTGTACAGCTTGATCCGACAGGTTCATACTGGAGAAGATCTAGATTCGGTGCTGCGTGAGGTGTACGATTTGTTGTGCGAGCCTGCGTGTAAAGAGCTTGTGGATTCAATGCCAAAAGTTTTGAATGGCGCAATGCGTGAGCAGTTCATTGAGGCGGCAAAAAGTCACGGACTGGACGCATTTGTGACTAAAAATGCCGAACATGTCACGTCTCACGCGCGATCGACAGACATGTCGGCGTTTTTCGAGCGACTTCAGCAAAAGAAGAGGAAGACTAATCATGGACACACTCCGACGGCAGCTGTCATAAAAGACCCACAGTGCTTTGTGTGCTACGATATCACGCGCAAGGCATATGCATCGCCGCAGTGCGGCCACATCTGCTGCCACGCTTGCTGGACAAAGGTACTTGGCGTTCGATGGGTGCTCGGGAGCCCGCGCAAACTAATTGTGTTTGTTGATAAAATGTAGATGGAAAAAGAAGGGTTCACGTCTTGCCCAGTGTGCAAGGGCCCAATCAAGCTAGACCAGCTGAGTTTGATTCGGGCAGCAAAAGATTCGTCCGACCGTCGTGGTTGAATTGATGTGGTGTGCGCGCTGTCATGGACGGAAGAGACAGCGTCCCGTCAATCTGACACGTTTGACGTGTTGAATGGTGTTGTCACTTGACTTCTGATCCGTCCGTTAGTGTCGGTTTTGGATTCCGAGTTATTCGATCCATGTGGAAGAGAGAGAGAGAGATTCATGACTGCCTATTACACCTGATGGTTATGCGCTGGAAGTCTAAAATCGTCCAAGCCGAGAATACAGCGCCGGTCGCGGCGGTGGTTCATGGCACCCCTCTAGTGGTGGCGAAACCCCGCTAGCCTCAAGAATAAAAAGTTCAAGGGAGGCATGCAATCTAGCCCCTTGAAGCACTGTCGCCCCCCCACTATGTTCACGCATGGCCAAGGCCGTTAATTGACGGACGCCCGTAGTCCAGAAACGGACGACACTTTGAGCCATCGTAAACTGCACGCCCCCAAACACTGCATCGTTGCACTTGCTCCATAAGTGCGTAATGCAAACGGAACTCATCCAAAACCAAATCCGTCGCCACACCAATTCGCCCGCTGCGGCGTCATCTTGAAACCGCTCGAGCAATCGAGACCGCTGAAGCACCGGGATCGCCGGAGCCTGACGAGTCGCACAGTTGCCGAGACAACTAGCTGCAACTGCACTCGACACAGAAGCGCCAGTCCAATGGCTGAGGAATTTATCCCAGCACGCTCGCGCCTTCTGGCCATCCCGAAAAACGTGCCTCGAAGTTTCGGGCGTCCCGTGACACGCCGGTAGGGCCCGGCAGCTAGTGTCGGTAGCACGCCCGGCGTGAAAAAAATTAAGCTGCTTGGTGGCGACGCGATACGCCGTCCAAACTTGAAAGTCGGAGAGTCCGTTGTCAGGCTTCCATACCTGGTATGGGTGCTGATGCGCCGCCGCCCGTTGCCACAGATCCTCGCGAATGACAGCATCTGGCCGCTCCAGTAAGGGTAGTAAAGGTCGGGTTAGCCGGCGTTCGTGCAGCGAAAAAGCCCGGTGCAAAACAGCCCAACGTAGAGATCCATTGGAAACCGTTTGGGGTACCCCCCACGCGGAGCGGTGGTGACTGGGGTGGGCGTAAACGACCACTCCGTGCTGCCTGATGTGCGCAGCCCAACTCAGACTGTCACCTTCCGACGCCGTGTGGAGCTCGGGTAGGCCCTCTTGAAAAAACCAGTGCAGCCCCGCCAGAGCCCTGACGTAATCGCACCGTACCCACTTCCTCCACGGGTAAACCCCTGCGAGCTCCCACGACGCAATTGCGACACACAGTGACCCAGTCATATTCAAAACGAAATGGTGGGGGATGCCGAAGAGACAAGTCGGACGCCACGCCCAGTTCCGATCCAATCGTTAACAACGGAGACGCTACTAAAATTGCTGTCGCCCACCGGCGAAGTTTTAGGCTGGGAAAACTTGACGCCCTCTGGCCGCGAGGGCGGGATGGTGAATACATAGGTGGTCGGGCCCGTCCGCCAAATGTGCAGATCCGCAATAGAGCATGCGTCAACTTGGGTTAAACTTCGAGTGCAACAACTTCGCATCCCGGATCCACGGATCCACGGATTGCGGACGAGCCAAACGTCCCCCGAAATTGACGCACCGCTCGTAGGGGATGATCAGGAGTAGCGACTTTGCCCGGTAACGGAGTGGAAAAAAATTGTATTTCCCATACACGCCCAATCCATCGACTACCCGCATGTAGCACGAGGGAAATTAAGGCAAGTCGATGTCCAGGCCCGGCGGTGTCCAGCTTGCTCCGCCGACGGCTCGCGAAGCAGGTCGAGATCGTTAGCAACGAAAGGCGACGAAGGCCGGCTGGTGCGTGAAGGCCGTTCACTTCGACGCAGCCAGTCATGCATGATCATACCAGAACCGGTAGACCCGCCGTGGTACGCCCAGGACCGCCAAGCATCAAAATACGTGTCGGGAGATTGGGGTCAGCCAGCGCAGCGCGTGTTTGGTCCTTTGCATTTTAATGGCCACATCGACCGAGACCGCGCAGGTCAGAAGAGTGGTGAATGGCCAGCCCCAAGGGCTCGAATGCCAATAGGAAAAGGAGAGAAGCGAGGGGCACCCCTTGGCGACTGCCCGATACCACTGGTATGGGCTTGGAAAGCTCCCGATTGACGAGAAAGGATGCCGTCGTCCCTGCATGCAGCCAATGTAGAAGCTGACTATAACGGTCGTATTCGATCCATGTGAAAAGCTGCGTCTGTGGTGTCGGTGCGCTCACAGACGTTGGCTCGGACGCAGACTTTGCCGGGGTATGCGACATGTCGGGGGTTGTAGTTTTTCTCGCGTAAAACGTAACGGTCACGTGCTCAACGGTCCGACGTGGCGTTCTCTGAACTGATGAGGCTGCGGAGGTGTCATATTAATAGTCACTTAACGACTTGAGTGCCGACGACGAACGACGGGTCGGTCGCGGCTTTTCGCAGCCGCAATCCACGACGGCGTAACAACTCGCGCGCTCTGTGAAACAGTCGGATCGTCAATACCGACCCGCGCAGTGGCCGATTGGTCGTTTCTGGCCGGTTTCCATGCAACTGCTCTTGGCTGTGTGGTGACCGCTTGTCGAATCGTACGCGGAGAAACACGAAGAACGTGCCGTTGTGATCTTCCGACGTCGACAGTGCCCCGATCAGCGGCAGCAGAGCTTCCGATCACTTATCGACTCGCAGTCTTTACACGAAGCAGTCCCACAGTCTCACCTCTCCGGTCAGCTGTACCCCCCCCCCCGTCCGCCCCAACGTTTGTTGAAGCGTTGCCGTCGACAGACACATACTCTCAACACGTACGTACGACTCGCTCACCACAGCAGGACTTCAACATGTTGTATTCCGCTAATGGCTTCGCTGAAGCACACCGACGAGCATCGACTGCCGAAGAGAACGAGTTTCTCCGTGAGCTCCTGTATGATGGCAATTTCGCATCGCCACGACAACTGCAGTCCTCACCAGCGACGTCGCTCGAAGAAGGTTTCGAGAGCAACAGTGACCCAAATTCGCCATCGGGACCCCTCAAGCGCAGCAGTCAAGAAATGGACGTCTCGTTCTCGCAAATTTGCTTCGACAACCAGCCATACGTCACGCGCATGCAGTCGCAATCGAGCAATAGCTGCGCAGACCTGTCGGTGTCGGTGCCAGACCATTCGCCGCGTTCAGCGGCTAGTGCCACTGCCATTGTCTCGCCGCCACGCGTCTTCGTGCAGGAGTTTGCTTATCTTTCACAGCCGTTTTTCCACGACAAGTTGCCAAGCGATACCGACATGCGTGAGATGAGACCCGAGACAGCGACGGTGTCTTTCCTGACGTCGTGCTTCCCCCCGGCTTCACTACCGATGCTATCGATGCCACCGTATAAGAAGACGAAGACGTTGGCTGTCACCACTTCGACAAGCAACGAGAAACAACAAGTGCGCTGCATATACCCGGACTGCCCGAATCTACGTCGATCAGCAGGATTCTGCAATCGTCACAGCGGCAAGATGTGCAGCATGTCAGGTTGCATGAAGTCCGCCTTGAGTCGCGGAAAGTGTCCCGAGCACGGTGGCGGGTCGCGTTGCAAAAACGTCGGGTGCTCTAAGTTTGCCCAGACCCGCGGACTATGCAAATCCCACGGCGGCGGCAGGCAGTGCAATGTCAGCGGCTGCACGAAGAACGCACACCAAAACCGATTGTGCCGCTCGCATGGTGGTGGTAAGCGGTGCGATTACACTGGGTGCCCCAAGTGGGCACAGCGTTCAGGGTACTGCTGTGCTCATACCAAGATGAGCTCCAGCAGCGATGCCATACCAAGTGTCGATTCCCAACATACAGACGCCAGCATGCCCGCCTCTGCACCATCGCCAACCTGGTTGTCTCCGCACCGTCTGTTTTCGTTACGCCCGTAACTCTCGGCCCACCGGTACCTGGTATCCGTCCTATCATCCGACTAGATTCCTGGACGAAGACACCCACGTCTCGACGGCTAACGTAAAGCGCTGCCCCGAACTTGATGTGGTGAGCAGTTCGGCCGTCCGCGTAGATTGCATTCATTACATGCCACAATACACGACTCGATCATAACGAGCACCAGGGTAACTCCAGTCCAAAGGAAGATCATATATAAACCCAAGTGGCTGCAGCCTGCCATTACGTCGGGTCTGCCTCACAAACTCATGTCAGCTCGGGTTGCTCCCACCTCTCTCTCTCATGACACGTCACCACTTTGTGCACTGCTTTTGTTTACGCCGGAGAAATGAGTCCACGCTCCACTAGGTCCGGTACTTCTGCGGCAAGCCACGGCGCCAGCTACATCACCACCAATACATAACAACAACAACATCCTCTCAGTTTCCACTTGTACCGTTTCATCAACGCGCCCCACACGACCGCCTCTCCACTGCCTTACACCAAGGGCGAGCGCGTGCGCAACACCAAAGCGCGGAACGTTCTTTTGCCACAGCGGTGCAAAGTGAATCGTGAGGCAGATTTTACCGCCTCGGTACATCTTGGACGTCTTGCCCTCTAGCTCTGGAATACAGAGCTCCGGGTTGGCGACCGGGTACGTGGCTGGGATCTCAAACTCGAGGTCGAACTCGTAGCGCAGGCCGCTGTAGAACGTCCAGCACTTGCCCGTCCAGCGCGTGCCCGTCTTGTTGCTCTCGATCGTGAACCAGTCGTTGTCTGCGTCCTTGTTCGTCTTGACGTACTGGATCAGCGCCAGGTACTCCTCTTTCAGCCGTTTCGTCCATTGTTCGCCGTCACGCGGACCCGCACGTGTCTTGAGCAGCGGAATCTGCTGTACCGTGCGCTTCGTAGTGTCGTCGATCGGTGCGTCCATCGTCAGCAGTGACGTCGTTGCGTTAAGTCGCTGATGGAATATGAGGACGACAAGTGCGCTCAATTGATAGATAGATAGAGATAGATAGATAGATAGATAGATAGATAGATAGATAGAGATAGATAGAGATAGAGAGAGAGGTAGATATGGTGCTTATTATGTGACGAGGAGCTACGTTCGACGTGGGCGAGGAGGCGGATTGGGCACTTGCGAGATGAATGATAAGACCCTTTTTGGAGTCTGGTAGCGTTTTTGGGAGCTCATTTGGTAAGAATGGGACGAAAAGTCAGCCGAAAAAAACCCCTCTTCAGTCGAGCAAACAAACTGAAGCCGCATCTGCAATCGCTTGTGCGACAGCAGTTTCGCGGCTGAAGAATCACGTTTGACTGCGTTCTGGTACAGCGGTTTCGACAATCCGACGCCAACCTGAAGCAGTCAGTATGTGCAGGAGATGTGGCCTTATTTCACTCTGATCTGCTACTGGGGGACAGCGTCGTGGATGTCAACCCGGTGGCGCTTTCATTTGTTGCATCGTGTGCGAAGTTTTTTCTCGCCGTCAAGATAATACGCGCCGTCCACAAAGCCGACTGCTTTACATGACTGCCGGCAAATACGTGCACTTGCAAGCTACAATGGGTGTTCGTGTAGTCGCCTTGAGCTTGTTACTCCCTCATCTTCTAGCTCTGCCACAACGACTATTCGCCACGCTTCGAAATGATAGTCCCGATGCAACGCGGTGATTGATGTGGTTGTAGTAATTTCGGCTGCCATCATAACCGCGTACGTGCACTCGACTGGTCTGATGTTAATTGAATCACACAACCGGTAGATCTGAACGTCCTTTGCACTTAAGGAAACGGGAACGGGCAAGCGACATACAGCGGATGCATGCGATGTATTCACTATGTTTCGTGGCGTAAAGTGTCGAAAGCTCCGACGTGGTCAGGTTCGCAGATATGAGCACTCTCTGACTGAATTGTTGTGGACTCTGTTTTGCAACTCGGTCTCGAGGGTACTGTTGCTGTTGTTGCTGATGCGAGATCCATCAGCATTCCAAAGTCAGCTCTCGTACGGCACATTGAGTGGCAGGCTCGCTACTCGCCGCTATTCATCACACATGTCAATGCCTACGAAATTGTCAGACAAACCATTGACTGCAATGCGCCGTAGCAATCGGTTGTCGTATTGCAATTGCCTGACAATGTGTAGGAACAGCGCATGTCCGTTATTCCCAACTTATGCCTTCCACGCGCTCGCACTCCTCCTGCTCGGTATCGACTCGACTGCGAGGACAGGAACACAAGAGTACGTACAAACAGCGTTCTTATTAAGCGTCGTATCGCAAGCTTGGCGTACTACATGCGACAAAGTGTCAGCTCGATGCAGCGCCCACATAATCGTTCGGGCCTGTTCCAGACACGAGCTGGCTATGACATCTAAGCACGGCGCTGACGGCGCTTGCATGCGGTGTCGGACTTGGTGGCCGTCAGGTCCACCTCTTCCGTGTCGTCTCCCTTCGTGGCCGTCAGGTCCACGTCCACCTCTTCCGTGTCGTCTCCCTTCGTGGCCGTCAGGTCCACGTCCACCTCTTCCGTGTCGTCTCCCTTCGTGGCCGTCAGGTCCACGTCCACCTCTTCCGTGTCGTCACCCTTCGTGGCCGTCAGGTCCACCTCTTCCGTGTCGTCGCCCTTGGTGGCCGTCAGGTCCACCTCTTCCGTGTCGTCGCCCTTCGTGGCCGTCAGGTCCACCTCTTCCGTGTCGTCTCCCTTCGTGGCCGTCAAGTCCTCCTCTTCCGCGTCGTCGCCCTTAGTCGCCGTCGGGTCCACCACTGCCGGGTCGGCCTCCCCAGCGATCTCACTGTCACCCTTCTTCGCCGCGGATGCCACTGACGGAGTGCTGGACTGCTTCGTAGCGTTGCCGGCTTCCTCGCTGTCCTCCTCCTCGTCGTCGTCCTGGACCGCCATGGCGCTCTTCTTGGTACTGATGCCCTTCACCGTTGTGCCAATGTCGCCAATGCGGATGTTGGTAAACCGCACGGTCGACTTGGCCTGCTCAGCAATGACGTCTTCAGGGAGACCGGACGTCGTCGCGCACGTGCCGCGCGAGACACCGGGCTTCGACTTGTCGGCCGTCACGGGGTAGTCCGAGTCGAGCCACAGGCACTGGGCCGCGTGGTCGGCCCACAAACTAATGGCCAGCACCATCCCGCGGCTCATCGAGAGGCCCATTTGCGCCAGCCCGCCCTTGGCCTTGTGGTCGTCCTTGTCCCCAAAGAGCTTCTTGGTCGTCGCGCACTTGGCGTCCGTGAGCGAGTTCATGCCCTTGGTCGCCTTGAACGTCGACTGCGCCATCTCGAACGTCTTGCCGTCTTGCACGTAGTGGCGCGTGATGTCCACGAGCGTGCCCTTCGCCGTGTTGTCGTCCGTGTAGAACCGAGTCACGACCGTGATCTTCTTGGTCGTGTCGATGGCAAACTCGGCGCCCGGGCCGAAGAACGTCTTGTTGCCCATGCGGTACGGGTTGAAGTCGCAGCCGTCCTTGTCGCAGACCCCGTTGTAGCGGTTCTTGTCGACGCCGCACTCCTTCTCGGTCGTGCAACGGTGCGCGCCAACCGTCTTGGTCGTGGTCGTGCACGGGTGCGACGTGTACGCGTTACTGATGCTGTTGGCCTCCCAGATGTCCATCTCGCCGCAGCACGCGCCGTACTTGCCCGAGCCCGAGTTCTCGTCCGTCTTGCTCGGCGTCCAGTCGACAATGTTCGCCTCGCCGCTGATGAACTTAATGTCGCGCGGACACTGCGCGTCGCAGTAGCCCGTGCCGTACTTGGCGCCGGCTTTGTTCGTCGGGAAGCGCTTCTTGCCGCCGTCGGCCTCCATCTCGATAAAGTACAGCGCGCCGTTGAGACCGCAGCCGAGCTCGGACACGTCCACGTCGAAGGTGAACTCCTGGTTCAGCAGCATGTACATCCGATAGTGCTCGTCGTCCGCGTCCATGACGTACACACGCGAGCCGATGTTCGTGCTGTACGGCCCCTTGGTCACGAACTGCAAGTTCAGCGTATCGTCTTCGGTCGTGACGCCGTACGTGCCCGTGTAGTCGGCGCCCTCGAGCGCGCAGTTGGTCGCGCACTTCTTGGGGTCCGGGCACAGCGTCTCGTCCCACTTGTTGCCCGTGTAGCAGTTCTTCGTGCCCGTGGCCTCGTGCAGCCAGCGCCAGTTGGCGTCGATCACCACCGACGTCGCGTCGTCCTTGCAGCCGCTTTTCTTGGTACAGGTCTGCGTCGTGAGCGGGGGGTGCGTTTCCGCCGTGCTCGAGCCCACGAGCTGCGCACTCGCGCTCATGGCGGCGAGCGAGGCCGAGACGGCGAGCGCTGCAAGACGAAGCGCACTCGGGGACTGCATTCTGGAGCGAGGCGAGTGCAGAGAAGGCAGTAGTAGTGGTAGTAGTGGTGGTAGTCGAAGAGCTCCAAGAAGGCAAATTCAGTTGTGAGGGACGAGGAGCGGCTCGAGGCGCGCGCATTGGTCGCGTCCGAAGTCGCTCGGAGCCGATCGCTGCTGAGCGTCGGGCTCTGTCGCGGGGACACAGACAACGCGGACCAGTGGCGTCCAGGAGGAGGACGTGTCTGTGGCTTAACGACCGCCTTCCCGAGCGAGTCCCACTCCGTGTCCCAAGTGGCTCAGGGACAGCTGGTTCTGAAGACAGGATCGAAGCTCAGACCAGATTTGCCCCATCACCACATGCTCGAGCAAAGCTTCGATGGTGTCACTCGCACGTTCCTGGAGGCTTCCGCGCGTGACAACACGTCCATTGTGTGGGATGCATCGCACCTTAGGTGCGACTTGTGCAGGAAAATCGAATGGGAACTGGCTTCGGCTCGGCAAAAGCTGCTTCGTTCGTCAGTAGCAGCTCGATCTATCTGAATAGCAACAGCTGCCCTTGTCACGACGTGTCAAGAAGATCGCGCTGACTCTTTTTGCCGTAGCAGATACTGTGCTAAGGAGCGAGAGGCTCAGACAGTCGATATAACCGTATCAAGGCGTACAAGACGACAGGCACCGTGACGAAGGCAGCCAGGACGACGACGACGGTCTGAAGAGGTCGATGGTTTGCACCATCGAAACACTTCAACGTCGCAGAAACGGCTGGCTCGGTTCAAAATTTGAGCTGGCTTCCCAGATGCCAGGTGGAGGGTGCATCAAACAGCCGAGCTCTTGTCGATGCGACGGCCAGTGCGGTTGGAGCATGTCAGCTCCCGCACGACTGCACGACGGACGCCGGTGCACCCATGCAGCGTGGATGTCATCCTTGTGTGTCCTTCCGCTTGCGTCGCGTCGCGTGTCCTTTCTATCACTACGAAGATGAGAATAGCTGCAGCGCGTCCCCTACCTCTTCGTCGTCAATAGAGAGCGACTACTTCTTCTAGCCTCCGACTGTCAGAGCTCTTGCAGCCAGGCCGTGTACTGGTTCGGCCCGCTCTATCCTCCGTGATTTTGGTCTGCTTTCCTGCGCTGGCATTGCAGCTGATCGAAGAGCGCAATGGCTGCGCACTGCAGTGAATCTGTCACTTAACACACGAACTGGTGTTGCGTCGTCAGGGCGGCCAGCAAATTGTTGTAGGATCGACAGTGGGCTGAGGGCAGAAGGAACATCAAATCGTGCGACAAAAGTGGAGACATTTTCACGATTGTGATGTTGTCGAAGAAACTGTCACGTCTAATCAATCACGATCGCACCTGGGGAACATCTGCTTGCACTGCTGTCGAGCTCACTCGACCTGTAGTCGCTTCGACTGCGACTTTACCTAAGCATCGGCCGAACGAAGGGCTGCACATAGATTTGGTATCCGTGCACATGTTTTGTCCATCGACGACGTCGCGATCAACTGTGGTAGGTTAGTATCAGCGCCGATCGGTTCATAATTATGATACCCTTGATCCTCCAGCAGCTTGGGGTAGACTAGGCATTTAGACTGTTTTTTGTGTATACGTATACAAAAGCAAACTTGCCTGCGTATCAGCCGTCGCCAGACACGGCGGGCAGCTTCGCGCCAGCCATTTACTACAGTTGCAGCATTTATACTGAACAGCACGAACGTAAGATGACCGGCTACAGTTACTCATCAACGTGCACAAGTGGTATGAGTCCAGATCGAAGTATTGGCGACGCATGTGAAAGGGTGCAGCTGAAGCTACAACTATCGGCTACGTCGCTGATGGGGCATACTCTCCGCCGATCCCTTAGCAGAGGTACGTTACGACTAAGCGTCACCCTTATGATGCCCGCAAAGACCATTGCAGACTTTCCTACAGGAATCCCCTTTTCTAAGCATTCGTTCGTGAATGAAAGTATGGTGTCAGCAACAATGATCACGGCTTTTTGCCTGTCAGTATGATCCGGAAATATCATGTCAATGAAGCGGAGGCCATAAGATCTTCGTTTCATACTACATCGAAGGAACGTTTTTGTTGCAGGTGCCGATATACGACGGCCACGATAGCGTAAACTCGCCGTGGATTTGGATGGGCTTACTGTCTACATGCTGGGGCACCAGCTAGGTCCTGGTGAGTACCGGTGAGCTAGTTGTCCGGCAAATGGCAGGTGCTTAAACCTAAGACTCGCTTGTGACAAGCAAAGTCGATCGAATCAACGCTTTATCGCTACGAAAGTGGCAGAGTGCAAAGGCTGTAATTGAAGAGAAGGATGAATTCGAAGGGAGTAGATGAGAGACGCCCTCGACAGCGAGTCAGCTGGCTAAACTTTTGGAATTGTAGGAGATTGGCATTATGGCTGAGATAAATCTTCGACACTTACGATGGAGCTCTCGCTTTTATCATGACTTAACGCCAAAATGGCGGCAAACGCAATTTCATGCAAACATATTGTACACGACGAAAAGCCTGGACACTTCGCGAGGGCATGTTGCCATTACATTGGAAGTACGTCACGGCGGTACTGATCATCATCGGCCACGCTTGCACGTTTAGGAAGAGGTATACAGCTTATCGACGTCGTCAGACACGACTACCGGGCATCTCGCACTAGCAGACGCGCGATCCCGTTCTCACAACAGCAACAGCGGGAACATTTGCTCGACACTCCCTTGGGAATACAGTCCTAAATCATCGGTTTCTCCTGTAAAGTCATTAGTCTACATCACAAACGATTAAACTCGAATCGTACACTCACCTTGGTCGCCTGATAACCTTCATCAACTGTTTGACTGCCGTGTTATCGCGTTCGTTTGCGTTTTTTCATGATGAGGTGAACAAGCACAATCCCTTGCAAGATGTGATACAGCGGTGTTTGAAACCGCGATTATAGTCGAGATGTTTACGTGAAGCCATATTTGGCAGTTTGTTGCATTCGAAGTAAAACCGCCCTTGGCAACCCATGCTCCAGGTAAAATCTCACTCGCCTTGTGCTGCAACATTAGGTGGGAAGATCGACGAGTTGGACGTACGCTGATGTACTACGGAATAGGCTGCTGCCTGTACGATAAAATGTGTCGCACTCGCCCAAATAAACGTGCGGTTACGTCGACGCAATGCAGCACCTTTTGTACGAAACAATGTGACAGCACGAGTAGGCTACTGACAACACGTTCGTTTGACACGTCATATCCATTAGGATCGATTCTCTTTCTGACACGTAATGGCATGGCATGCATTAGTTCTAGGGTTTTCTAACCGCGTGAGCATTGAAGATTCTATGAAGGCTCAACGATTTACCAGCTTTGTCACCTGTGGCACGTTGTCGGCGAATAACCGACCACGTCCACAAGAACCTTAGTGACTCTACCCCATCACCATGCCAAGTGCCTGCATCCTGCAATGTAACTTACCGTACCAAGGAGACGCTAAAGGCAGGCCTACGATCAGTAGATTCAACGACGATTATTTTCCAGGTCATTTCTTGGTTTTCCACGTTGGAGCAGACACGCACGCTGTTGGCAGTCGGTCTACTGAGACGAAAGGGGCGCTTCCATCGTGCGATTATTGTGCTTTACCCGAAAAGGTTCCGTAATGGCCAAGTATTTATCATTTCCGTGTGACGGAACCATACGGACATCGCAATAGAACGGCATTCTGGCTGTAGTGGCCGGTCGCGAAGCTTTACTCAGTAGCAATGTTTGCCGGCGTCAATACCGGATATTGCTATATAGCTGCGTCCGGGGGCCCTAATCCCTCGTACGGCCCATTGAGGAAGCTCAAACACCGACCTGTGAGCAGAATGACTCGCAACATCATGACTTTCGACCCGTGAGTCTTGATTTTACACTGGTGGCGACATAGGTTGTTGTCGCTATCTTCGTTGAATAATGTGAACTCGGTCTGCCCGACTGGCACAGTGTGCCTCCAGCAAACTGTTGATGGCCTCGTATTTTACGGATGTAAATTTCGCTGTTTTCAACACCCTCGTACCGTTTCGTGCACAACACTAGAATATGTCCCGCATCTTGCAAAAACCCTTTTTTATGCTGTGGGTCGTACCATATTTTGCATAAGGTCGTCAAAAAGACCAGGACAACATACCGCTGGTTTTATTACGATCATACTGCTGTAATGCCAATGACCGAATCTGTCCAGACGCAACGATTACGACTCTTCTGCGCTTTCCAACATTACCCGACGCTACGTGCACTACCGAATCCGTGCGTTCTGTAAACCACGAGGGACCATCCGTCGTATACGCGACGTGAATAGGCAGGGGATACTGTCGCGACGGACGCCATTTGTCAGAACCTTTAAGCTTTGATCACGAGCCAGAACTCTGAGAAAGCTCGTGCGCCGCGCACTCGTCGTACTTTGTCCCGAGACACATTTCTCAGGCAGAGAGCAGGGCACCATCTCGTCGTTGAAGCTCGTGTCGTTTGGCTGCGGCAGCAGAAATAGTGCGAGCCACGTCGTTGGACGGAAGTGTACGATCGGACATTACAATTAGACGAATGTGTCGACGCTGAGATGCCACGTCTGTCCAGGGTTCATAACCAGACGACTGCTCGCGCGATGTGGGTACGCGATTCTATTCCTCGGAGAGCGCATTTCTCAGGAGCTTCAAGTATCTTCTTAGCTGTTGATCCCTATAGCATTAGCGGCGTGGCATCTTTTCCTCGTCCAGGCGACCGGCCACAGATAATGCCCAATCGCATTTGCCAGTCACTTTCCTCTTCAGTCGAGTAGCGTTTCTACCATTGCGCTGTTGCAGAGTTAAGTCACGCAATAACATGCCACGCGTTTCGCATGCATTGCTCATTGTTATGATCACCACGATGTGACATGAGCAATTCATTATGATCACCACGACGTAACTAACGCGTCTAACTATGCATTGCTCGGGCAACCAGCGCCAGGCGTCCGCGTCTTAATGTCTTTCACAAGCGCGTCAGAGAACTTTTGCCCGTCCATAAACGACTTCATGTGCAAAATGGGCTGGATGCCAATGTCCGTGACGGTCTTGCCCTTAATGCGCTCGCTGTACGTCTGCGGGTAGAACTTGGCCAGCGGATCGGCGTCGCTCGCGTTTGTAGGCGCACCTTCCACGACGCGAAACAAAGCATCAATGTCGTTCATTTTCATGAACGGACACGTGGCACAACCTCCCGCGGTCGAGCAGCCTTCGCCCCCCGCAACGCCAGGCACCAACTCATCTCCTTCCATGGCAACCGCATCCGCCGACACAGGAAAGATGATCTCAACCTCTGGCTTGACACCACCCTGTTGAGCGTTCAACATGTCCTGCACACCGCGCACGATCGACGTGATCATACCAGCCTCTGTTCCTAGCACAAAGCTCAGTCTTTCTCCAGACCCGGTCTGCAGTGCGTGCGCCGTCTTGGCCTTGATAAAGTTCAGAATGTTCGACGTTGAGCCCACAACACCCCGACCCTTGTTCTGCGCCTCCATTGCCAGCGTAAACATCTCGCCAGGTACTTCAAAGTGAGCCGTGTAGTACGCATGGCCATAGTCGTCCCGAACGCGCTGGGTCACCTTGTCGCCAAACATGTGGTGCACCACACAGTTGCCCTCTTTAAAGTAGTCAAACCGCGTGAGCAGCTCCGCGACCGTCTTCTGGTTGTGCTGCGGGTGAATCCGACGGATCTGGTCGTCCGGCAGCTGCGCAATGTGGCCAAACATCTGCTGCAGATTCTCGCCCATGTACGTGTCGGGTCCGTACCAGACGCGGACGTCCGGCACCTGCGCAAACGCCTGCAGCACCGTCTGCACCACGTTCGACGACGTGCACGTGATCGTCGGCACCACGTCGTGCGCAAACGCTTTGCTCCGCAGCGACGTGTTAATGTACACAATGTGCAGACTCGTGGGCGTCTGGGCCGCCTTCTGCAAGTACGCGAGGTACGCCTGTTTCTCCGCCGACTCGGCCAAGCTGCAGCCAATCTTGTGCGCGGCCAGACGGTACACGGGCACGTGCGCAAAGGCGTGCGAGTCCAAGTTCGCGCGCACGCTCTCGGCCATAAAGTCGACGCCCAGCACGGCGACCGACTGGACGCCCTGGAGCGCCATTTTGGCCGCGGCTTCGCCCATGGCCAGCGAGTCGGCGATGCACGTGTGCGGCCACGTGAGCGACGACAAGACGCCCTGGAGCTCCGGGTCCATGTAAAAGTGCGCGACGATCCCCATCTGCTTCTCGTGCAGCAGCGCGTCGAGCGCTTCGACCGCCTGCACGTCGGGCTCGAGGTAACTCGCCTGCGCTTGGGCAAACGAGCCCTGGGCCGACACACCGTCGGCCGTGACCTACACACGGCAACAGCGTTAGTGTCGCGGCTTCGCGAGACGCAAAGACACAAGAAAACGCACGAGAATCGACGGGAACGGCCGGTCCCACGAGGCCGCGAGCGACGCGGGCGCGACGGTCGCGAGCGGAGAGCACAGGAGGCGCGCAGAGTGGGGGCGCACGCGGCGCGAGAGCTGCAGGGCGGCGCGCATGGGGCGCTGGGGGGTCAGGCGGCGACGAGCGGACGAGCGGTCGAACGGTCGAGCGGCAGTGTGGGTGCGGTCGACGCGGCGAGCCGAGGAATGCGGTGACGGGGCGGCGGTCAATCGAGCGAGGGAGAAAGTGGCTGGAAAAGGACGTGCGGGACGAGAGACCGTCGGATCTGACGACACATGGGTGCGTTTGTGTGTGGGGGGGGGGGGCGAGGTAGGCTCATACATTGATCAAGTGCAGGGGCGTGGGGCCATCCCCATAGGGACGTTGATGGCTAGGGTCAAGTACAACCCCACGACGAGAGTGGTACCAGCGACTAGGGTCGCGCGTTCGGCGGGCGCACGGACGATTAACGTTGAAAGTCTGGTGATTTGGTTCTCCTGTAGCGACACATGTCATGCGCTATCCGTCCACCGCTTTGTCACTCACAAGCAAAACGACGTGGAAACGCTGTTGAGTGTGTCTGTCGACCATCGCTTTGGACGGCGCATAGACACGCAGTGTTCATCTCACTTTGTGGTATGTTACTCATGCGTTGACACGAGAGCGTGTAGTTACCTCGTGGCACCGACCCCGGTGGCCGAGTGGGGATAGGCACTAGCACCGGATTCGGGAGGTGCCTAGATCGATACCCGCGCAGGGGCGGTGCGGTTACACGTCTCTGACGAGCGGCTAACAAAGCCTGACATAGCGAGTCGTACGCGTACCCGAATATGTCGCAAACCTTCTCTCTCTTTAGGTCCACGTGGCAATTCCCGCGAAGTCAAATCACCTTTCGCAAATACACGACGAAATAAGGACGGGAAACCCCCTGAGTTTGTGCTCGTTTTGGCTGCGCCGACGATTTCCGGAATGCTGCGAAACACTTAATGGCTAAGGAGAGCAAAACGGAAGCACTGCTCGCGCATGAAGCGAGGGAAGACAAACACCTCGAGAGTATGGCTATGTGATCGATAGGAGCAGGGAGCACTTTACCGGATAATGGCCTCGATTTGGTTAAAGTCACGAAAGCCATGTTATTACCATTGATGCCAACAAAACTCGCAAAACAGTTGATCACAGTACTTGGCGACCGTTCGTGACGGGGCACGCGCTACGCCTTCACCGACAAAATGGTTGGAAAAAACGATCCACTCTGTCAATTGTGTAGACAGTGTCTCGTGATCGTACGTAGTTTTTCGCGTAGAGGAAGCGCCAAACGAGTAAACGTAATGCTTTGTCAAAGACGGAAAAGGAAAGCCATTTTTGGTAATAAAATAGCGTTTCAAAAATAGATGCCAGCTCTACAAATGTTGAATTTCAAACATGTATGCTAGCCATCCACTCGTTGCGCGCGTATCTAGCGCTTAGCGGTAATTTCGCTTGCTGGCATCATGTTCCATATCCCTGATGAGCAGTAAGTTGTCAACTACTGCCAAATGATACCCTCATCGGCAAGACTCTCTCAATATTACCTTCCAAAGTAATATTTTAGACTACTACCCTCGATTGTGGTGTTTTCAAAATAGTGTCCGCTAAGATAATATTCATACCGACATCCTTATGAGTATGAATGGCATACAGTACATCAAGCTCATCCCGTTGCTTTGTTGAATGCTATTCACAAGGTCATTGGAGACAAATTACGCAAGCTAGCACCTATAGCACAACAATCAAAGACACAGGGAGCAGCGACGAAGATGGCGTGACCCACGACATATAACATGACAGGAAAATGCGTGAGGCACGAAAGAGGACATGTTCGTACAATGTGTCTTTTTTCGCAAGTTACAGCTTCATGCAATGTATAAGAACTATGTAGCGGATCCCGTTCGTCTCGTGTTGAGCCAACGATAGAGCAAAACTCGAGTCACTCAACGAGGTGAAGTATGAAATAAAAGGCATTGCCACAATGAGAAGAGCAAACTTTCTTGATGAAAGAAACTACGATGACCATAAGTGGCGTTGTGCAAACAGCCATCCCATGTTGTAATACCTAACATCACTTTTGCCCACAGTACCACATACAAGCCTTGCCATTGATTCAGATGCTGTTGTTTTGTAGGCGGCTCTCGAAACGCTATCTCGCGCCACACAACCAAATAACGTCGAGAACCAAAAAAATAGCGGTTTATCCGTTTTCTCTAGTGTGCTTTCCAGCAGAATCAGGAAGATCGACTGAAGGAAGGAGCATTCCGATACTGTAACGGGGAACTGCTTACCTTGTACTGGAATACCAGGACGGACTTAGCTTTCGCTGACTACAGTGAAGGCCAGCGTCCTGCTAGGTATAAGCACTACACAGAGGAAGGATGAACACCTTAGGCAAGGCTCTAGTTGTAGAAAAAGTAAAACTGTCATTCAATACAATTAAGTCCTATGACTCTTGTCTCTGTTTTGACCTAACTTAATTACATTAATATAACTGAACGTATAATGACGTCTACCAACCACCCATTGCGGGCGTCTAGCAGCGATTTTGGGTTGATATAATCACAATATCGACCAACAAGTAGACCTTTGGGTCATATCAACAATATCACTACAATAGTGATATTATTGAAAGAATATCTAGCTTAATGTTCTTTATTACCATTTCACACAATGGTAATTTCACGTAACGAGCTACTCCGTTACAAATACCATATGCTGCTAAAAAACTATTCTTACCTTGTCTACCCATCGGTGGGTCGGGCTTCACGTTATCATGAAAAATTTAGTCGGTGTGAATCCTAGCATCACCTGGGATCGGTAGATGGAGATAGTACATGTAAAACTACAAAGATCTTGGAACTCGTTTATAGCGCTCTTGTGGAGTCACCACACTTTGCGGAAAAGAGATTTGTCAAAAGACGGCTATATTTGATCCCGCTTGAACTGATTTTGATTACTTAAGCCGTCTATGGTATAGTATCGCGGCATTTATTGAGTCCTACTGCATTTGAAGTTTTGAAGAGGGCTCTAGAAACCCTAGCAATACAATTCATGACCGATTTTCTACGCAGGTACAAGCGGTTTATGCTCATCGAGAGGCCAGAGATCCTCTAGGAGGATAGATAGGCCGACATTCGCGTTTATAATACCGAATCAAATTATCTTTGTTGTATATCCGACAAATTTTATACTCAGAAATATATGTATATGAGCATCTTAGGTCTGGTTGCCATGCGATTTTTTGCCGTAGTGATATTCCTCTTGTATCACCTGATAAGCATCGAGTTTCGTTCTTGTCTAAGCACGATAGGTCGGTACTAAATCGTGTATTATAACTGGTCCATATCTTAGATCTTGGGTCGTGTATCGCCTACCCTACGAACTACGATCAATGGATGAAGTACGCTACTCGTACTGGTATATTATATTCTTATAAAAGTCTTGTCCCGGGCTTGATCCGAACTGTCGAGAAAAAGTCCAAATCTAGATTACCACTTTAATCGGCTTAGAAATTTACTGCACTGTTCCATTATTTTTGAATGATGTAAGGACCTTTTTACCACTATATCCGACACCATTATATCACCGGAAGTGTACAATTCAAATTTTGACACAAATATCACACTTGTAACACTCTATATTCTTGTCCATAAACCATCGCACATAATGTCGAAATATTTACGCAATAAAATCGTCGATATCATCCACATCGGCAAATTTTATCAATTCTACCCCATTTCAATCACCACGTAGCATATACATTCTAGTAAGGCCCGGACCTAAGCACAATACGCATGCACAGGAAATTTATTAGCAATAGAGCTATCCCTATTGCTAATAAATATTCTGTCAGGTAATCTAGTGATACGAAGATAATTCAATAGGGTGCTGGATTGCCGAAATCAAGGATGAACTAATCTGGACGACTTAGAATGCAGTAACGGGATTACATCGAGGAAAGAAACATAGAATGTAAAAAACAATGTTTTCTTATTGATGTAAATGTGGTGTAGGAAGCAAGTCTTCAAAAGGCGTGGAGGCAGTATGGATCCTCAAAAGTGACACAATGAGCTTGGCGATACGAAATCATTTTGAGGCGTCATTAATCTATCTAATACGTAGTTCATATATCAAAAGATGCGATACACTGCATTTAAAATGCATTTGTGGATATTAGGCGAATAATTTGACATTTTGAGAAGGCAGAACGACTTACAGTAGCCTGTACAATAAATTTATTCTTCGCTGATATATTTTTTACGTTTGCGGTGGTGATCATTATGTCTCGAGTCACGATACAGGTAGCACTATGATGAAGCAATCAAGCAGCTTGACCATAAAATATTCTATACGCCTTGTCATGCAGAAATATATATCTATATATATATATATAATATATATATATATATATATACTCACGAGAATTTTCTTGCGTAGAACTTCACAGGTAAAATGCGGTGGAGAAAGCGTGAACAAGAAGGTGACAAAATGACGTGTAAACTCTCTTGCATTAGCATCAAAGATTTGGACAGGTTAAGAATAGTCGAATTTAACGGGTCGTTTGCCAGGCAAAAACCTTTTTGACCAGCTGATATGTCAGGTTATTCGTAAAGCTAAATATATTATGCGCGTTATTATACGATGAATAAAAAAGTTCTTGAATTCAATGTAGATCATGATAACAGAATGACGACATGAGCAAAATTTTGCCTTGTTTATTCCGTTGGCGACTATGAGTAAGTCATTCAGATATATTTTATTGGTACAAAAGTCATTACAACGCGCAAAACTTGTATCGATGTTTCCCGGAAATGATATTAAATAAGGTAGAACCACATTAGAAATGCTAAATTATAATGCTTTGGAATACTATCTTGTCGCTTGTACGTCCATGATAAATGAATTGAATGATCTGGATTAGAAGATTATAATCAAAAAGATAGGTAAAGATTGAAAATCTCGATGTGTAGCTTCAATTCTCTAGTTAGGCTTTTTCTTATGCCGATTCAAATTACTTTATTCGATAATTCGGCCTTCTCTTTGCGTACCATTGTCAAAATCGAAGCAATTCGGTAATTTCATTAAG